AAAAAAAAAAAAAAAAGTCATTTTATGTGTTAGCAAAGCTCAGCCCTGTGGTAGCAGGTGAGGCAGGCGATGGAAGCAACAAATAGCCCATGAAGACTGCCCAACCTCAGGCCCTCTGCCCAGAGAGGAGAGGGGGCATAGGAAAGCATGTCAGCCCAGGGCTGCCAGCCTCTTCAAAGCAGACCCCTGGGTCAAAGCTGTTGACACAATTAGTCTGAGTTGAGTATGCAAAAAAAAAATATATATATAGAATGCCAACTGCAGCAACTTAAAAGAAACACACACATACACAGCCACATAGTTGTATTCATAAATAAGTTCCATGCCTACCTGAAATCTAATAAATAGACCTTAATTCAACCAGCATTTATTAAGGATCTAGTTAGTATATAATTTCAGATTTGTGTAAAAATTAATAGTTTTTAGTTGGTTATGAACAATGAATATTTGAGCCGGGCATGGTGGCTCACACCTATAATTCAGCACTTTGGGAGGCCAAGGCGGGCGGATCACTTGAGGTCAGGTTTGAGACCAGCCTGTTCAACATGGCAAAACCTCATCTCTATTAATATAAAAAATAGCTGTATATGGTGGCATGCACCTGTAGTCCCAGCTACTCTGGAGGCTGAGACACGAAAATAACTTGAACCTGGGAGGCGGAGGTTACAGTGAGCCAAGATCAGGCCACTGCACTGCAGCCTGGGCAATAGAGTGAAATTGTGTCTCAAAAAAAAAAAAAAGGAAGAAAAAGAACATTTGTATTTTCCTATTTTTGTATGCTTTTCATACTACAAGAAACATTTGCTCAATATCTAACATTTTTTTCCAGGACAGTTTCACAGCCTCTCTTCTTAAACTGCCCAATTCTAGCCAATTCTCCTTTGCTCTGCACTCAGTGGGTGGCCGCCCTCCTGTCTGCCTCTCTTGTGCTCTGCCAATGCTCTGAGATCCTCCAAACATCCTTTACGAGCCCTCCCTCCCCCTCCCCATGACTATCACCACCCCACACTCACCTCACATTTTCTCCCAGCCTCTTAAGCTCTCAATCTGTAAAGCTATGCCCTCCTCTTGGTCGTTGTCACCTTCTGTCACAGATCAAGAGTCTCCTCTATCTCCTCTCCCACTTTCCTGCACCTTCCAAACATTCTCAGCTAATCTTTCTGCACTTTTTGAACTACCTCTCCCTGCTTTGCTGGTCCAAATCCTTTTTTTGAATGACAGTTAAAAAATTCTATGAAGCTATCTTTATTTGGCTGTGAAGAACCTACAGTTGTGATGATACCTAAAGCCACAATTCCTTTCATCGGGTACCTTACAACCTAGTCCCAACCACTCCTCCAAAATATACAAAATCTGGTTCTCTTCTTCAAGCCAAACCCAATGAAGTTTAACCACCTTCTTGGTCAGGCGCAGTGGCTCACGCCAATAATCCCAGCACTTTGGGAGGCCGAGGTGAGTGGATCACGAGGTCAAGAGATCGAGACCAGCCTGGTCAACATGGTGAAACCCCGTCTCTACTAAAAATGCAAAAAATTAGACGGATGTGGTGGCGGGCACTTGTAATCCCAGCTACTCAGGAGGCCGAGACAGGAGAACTGCTTGAAACCAGAAGGAAAAAAATCAATCTAGAGGTTACAGTGAGTCAAGTTCACGTCACTGCACTCCAGCCTGGGCAAAAGATCAAAACTCTGTCTCAAAAAATAATAAAATAAAATAAAATAAAAATCACCTTCTTACTCAACCTCTCTGCAACACAACACACTCCTGAACACTTCTTTCTGTTTTTTGAGATGGAATCTCGCTCTGTCGCCCAGGCTGCAATCTCTACCTGCAGTGTTCAAATGATTCTCCTGCCTCAGCCTCGCAAGTAGCTGGGACTACAGGCACACACCACCATGCCTGGCTAATTATATATTTTTAGTAGAGACGGGATTTCACCATGTTAGCCAGGCTACTCTTGAACCCCCAAACTCAGGCGATCTGCCTGCCTCAGCCTCCCAAAGTGCCAGGATTACAGGCATGAGCCACCGCACCTGGCCACTGCTGAACATTTCTTCCTTCTGAAAACTCGACACAGTCTTGGTTTCTACCACACTGCTTATCCAAACTTCTCTTGGAGTTCTCACTGCTCCTTGGATTCCTTTGAAAGAAACTATTTTCTTCCACATTCCTAAAGATCTGTTGGCTCCTCTGCCTCTCCCCATTCATGCCTGCTTCCTCAGGTGACTCGGCCCTCCCTTTGCATCCCAGGTAGCACTTCAGGTCTTTATTCTACCAGCTGGCAGGATGTATTTAAATATAATTAAAATGATAATGTTATCACTAACATATTACCATCATCTGTTTCATCCTAGTTTATAAAGTGCTTTCATCATCTCATTTCCTCACAAAGAGCAAGTACGGCTCCTATTTAATAATTATGGACACGCCTAATTATAATTAATAATTATGGCTCATACCAGTAATCCCAGCACCTCAGAAGGCTGAGGCAGGCTGATCACCTGAGGTCGGGAGTTCGAGACTAGCCTGGCTAACATGGTGAAGCCCCAAGTTCATTCATTGTCTCTACTAAAAATATAAAGTTCAAGGACACAAACTAATCTTGCGCCACAAACTAACTTGTAT